ATTCTTCTTTTGACTTCTCCCTTACCATTTAAAAATGTATGGTGTGGGCAGGTTCTACTTCATGCTTTCTCTGTCAGGGCCTAAATGTGGATGCAGCACTTAAAGGAAAAAAGCCCCTATCAGAAATGACCCCAAGCTCCTGGTGTCAGGCTGAGAAAGACCTGTGGGGCTCTGTGTATCACATCCACAACCAATAGGACTAAAGGCAGAACAAGGCCGGAATCACTGTTCACTTGATGTGTTTATTTCAACGAATTACCTATTTGCTGGTAAATAGCAAAATGTTTTTCAACAGCATGCAATGACAGGAAACTCCTCGCATCCATGGTCCTTTGGTCTCCTGCAAATCCTACACCTCAGTGAGCTCAGCACAGCCCCCACGCCCCATGCATCTCAGAGCATGATCTTCTCTGATTCTCCTCACCCATCTTCCTATCTGATGGGCAGGTGGCCAAGAGTCCTGGGAAGTGTTCCCCTGTGCCCTCCCCACTCCAGTAGGTTCCAGTGGGGTGGCCACCCAAGTCACACCCTTTCTCCATCGCCCCTCCCCTTTGGGCAAGTGAGACAGTGTGGCAGTCCCCCATCTACATCACAGGGTTGCTTTGGGGGCACTCTGCATCCTACCAGTCTTTGGGCAGCAGAACCTTACTCAGTGGTTGCAACACAGTACCCCTCCTAACCAGTGGAGAAAGACTTGATTGTATCTCAAGCCTGGACTCGGGACCTGTCACTGAAAGGTTGCATTCCACACATCTCCATTTTCTTTCTTGGTTTCTTTCTTTTTCTTCTCTCTTTCTTTCTCTCTCTTTAATTGATTTAGCCCCCAGGATGTTCCCCCAGATTTCAGCAAACACATCACTGCCCCTCACTGGAAGCAGCCCTCGGACTGGGTGGCATGCCTTCGTTCTCCCACTGGGCCCCCTGAAGTCAAAATGGCCCCTCCCCCACAGGGCCACCTGAAGTCAAAATGGCCCCTCTCCCACATTAGTTCTCCCACTGGGCCCCCTGAAGTCAAGACGGACCTCCTCCTAGGCTTGGAAAGCCATCTCCTTTTCACAACCCAGCTGGGAGAGCCAACTCCACTGCTTAGCAAACAACTCTCTGAGATAAATCCTCCCCAGGAGCCCTCTGTCCCACAGGGGACTCACAGGGGTCATGGCCCAGTGTCTGTATCACTGAAAACACTGTTCACAATCACTTTTTTCAGACATTATTTGAAAACAGGGACAAAATATAAAGGTAAGGTCCAAGATCCACCTCTAGTTTTAAAAGGCCAAGGACACATCGCCCAGGCCACCACAGATGCCCACGTGGCAAGGCAAGGATGTGAGACCAGGCAGTAAATAGATCCCAACTCTCCCACCCACTATCTTGGAAAGCCCCAGGTATCACCCGCACCCACATCCTCAGCTCGCAGTTGCAGCTGTGCAGACCCACACCTCCCCTGGCTTTGCTTTATGATACCTGGTCTCAAAATCCGGATGGCCTCGAAGTGCTCACGGCTTCTCTCACATGAAGGTGCTGAAATTAGAAGAGGCAGCCTCCAGATAGGAACCACAGGACATAGGCAGAATGTGGTGCTCAGCCAACACGGATGTGCTGCCACAGGGCACATGTTCTTCTCCCTCCCTTGACACCATCAACACCAGAGCCCTAACTGGCTTTCCAACCTAGGAGCCCACCAAGCAATCCCCCAATCATTCCAGTTATCCACACTCACATGTGCCAAGGGGCTCCTGGCTTCACCAAGTTAACAGACCTGCAGCACTTCCGTGCAACGGAGTGGGTGTCTCCAGAGGGAGGAAGCGCACTCTCTTCTGACTTTCTGGGATCCCAGGGCCAGTGCCACACCCCGCAATCAGCTCTTCCAAGGGTACTGCTGGGAACCCCACAGGGAAGGTCAGGGAACATTTGCAAAGGCAGCTTCATGCAGCACTACATGCAATTAAACAGCCACATGACTGGACCAGATGGACACCGCCCATCTCAGGAACTGCTGGTGTACCTTTCAATTGCAGAGGATAATGTTTGTTGGCAGTGTACTGGGTACTGAAAATAACCAGGAGCCAAACATGGGCCCCTTCCTTCCAAGAGGTCACAGTCTGGCAGAGGAAGGCATTTGGTTCACTGTCTTGACCTAGGATCCCACAGAGCAACCAGCCCAGGACATGCTCCAGACCCACCTTGTGGGAGGTGTGTGTGTGGAGGGGGGCAGCACGCACCCTCAGAGCAAGAGCTGCACTTAACAGAGAAGTAGAAAGACAGCACAGGCTCAGCACAGGAAACCCCAGAGGTGCAGAGATCGGGTGCCTACTTGAGTGGCATCGAGGGGTTTTTAACTTCTGCCTTGGTGGTTCTGTGCAAGGGGGAGCAGGATTTTCACTAGAAGGAACTGAAGGAGAAATGAAGGAGAGAGGGAATATATACCCATGTCGCAGAGCTGGCCTGATGACCAGAGAGGCCCAGGAGTGGAAGCAACGCTGGAGGAGAACACCATCCTAAGCTGAAGACACTAGGGTTTTCCAGCCAGGAGGCAGAACCAGCAGAAGAGATGAGGGTAGGATGAACACAGAGGACAGTCGCGCGAGGGACCAAGCCCCAGGACCTTGAAGAGAGGCCCCGAGGGCTGAGCGCAGCCCTGTCACTTTGGAGAGAATAGTAGAGATGACATATTTTAAGAGATCTTCCAAATCATTCCTAGAATCTTTACAGCCCAAATTATCAGAGTGTGAAAGCTTCAAATGTGTGTGAATCATGGGAGATACAAAGATTGTTAGAAACCTGAAGCTCACAGATGGCAGTTTCAACTCACCTAACAGAGATCCCAACAACAAAGGTTCAAGAGTTCGGTGCAAGCTGGGAGAATGCCTGGCTCAGAGGGCTACAAACTGTCGCAGCAAAGTTGGTGTCAGGTGACTGCTGAGCACCCAGGGCCCTAGGTGAAGGCCTGCAGAACCACCACTGGTGATGCGCCAGCCTGGACAGGTCAGCACACAGCTCCCTGCTTCTCCATGCTCCTCTCTGCCCTCAGAGTACCCAGGGCTGGAGGGACTCTGCTCCACACCCACGAGCAGTGGGGACTGCCTGGGTTCCAGCGCTCGCCCTGGGACCACCTTGCAGAAGCAGCCCATGCCCACAAGCCACTTTTCACCAGGGCACAGCTTGGACTTCGTGAAAGGATTTCTCTGAACATCAACTAATGTTTTTTTCTTTTAATTCCCCAATCAAAATATGACCAAGAACTTCTTAAGGAGTGGCCATGCAAAGGTGGCTAGCCTCTTGGAGACCCCAGCTCACCGAGCTCTCAGTGTGAAAAAAAGATGCAGAAGTTTTCAGCTTGGGGAGTCTTCCACTTGACAAGAAATGGGAGACAAAGCTGCAGGTGGTGGGGGCATTCTTGTACAGAGACCCACAGAGACGACAGGAGGGCAGAGAAAGCTGGAGTTCTGCTGGTCCTCCAGGGGCCACAGGGAATTTTAGATGGCCACTGAACCCCAGGCCAGGCACAGGCTCAAGAGGCATCCCAGAGTGTGGACGCCAGGGCTGGCCCCAGTGAGGCTATATCTAAACCACCACAGACCTGTTTTATAGAGGAATTTATTCTGACCAAACATCAGATTGCTACAAAGCACTGTGGGGTGGACAAGGTGGCTATCACCCCCTTTTAAATTCTGAGACAGCAGGTAGCCCACTTGAGTTAGAAGTTACAAAGTGAACCAGCACTCATGGCTCCTCCCACTTCACAAAGGCAGGACCCAGGAAGTGAGCATTAAACACCAGTGTCCACAGCATTTATGTCAGGGCACACTAAGACACTGCCCAGCCAGGGGACCTGAGCCAGCCACTCCTTGGCCCTGGCAGAGCTCTCCTCAGGGGCCAAGACCCAAGTTCCTGTCCTCCAGGCATCTGAAGAAGGGAATTCTTGCTGTCTGTTCTTATAACTCTGTACTTAAGTAACTTACTTAATTTGAGTAAAGACAATTACTCAAACTCTAAAACACTGGCGTGTGCACATGCTTGTTTTCACATAGGCTGTTATCCACCATGTGACCCGACTAAAGGGTGAAACACAGCATATCCCCAGAATTATGAGCTAGAAGCCCATGAGGCCAGTTACACTGGCAACCTGCAGACCAGAAGATGTGGGCTGACCTTCCAAGGGAAGCTCGTGTTCCTCCTCAGGCCCAACAGCAGTGCCCCAGCATTCGCAGGACTGTCCTTCACACAGCATGGAAAAAGCCATGTTCTGTTCTCTGCTAAATGGAAGTACTCCTTTCTCTTTCTTTCTCCTGATTCTCCTTATATAATTACTGCAGCTCAGGACTTGTATTTCTTGATTTCCTATCTTGGGTATTTCTACATGTGTAAACAAATGGGTGAATAATCGTCCTTCAGCACCTGCAGGGGACTGGCCCCAGTGCTCCCCAGAAACCAAGCCTGTGGATGGTCAAGTCCACGCATGAGATTATGTATCATTGTGTATGTTCTGCTTCCATGTTCCTACCCCTGTGTGCTTTCAATCATTTCTGGATCATATATAACATCTAACACAGTATAAATGTTATAAAAATAGTTGCTGCACTGCATTGTTTAATGCAGTGAGTAGTGACAAGGAAAAGTGTGCACATGTTCAGTCCACACATATGCACACACATGCAGCATGCACATGGAGGTACAGAACAGGTGCTACTTCCCCACAGTAATGCTAACCAAGAGTCCAGTAAGCTCTTCTCCAAAACAATGAGACCATCGGGCCAGGGCCGAGAACCCATGGGTTCCTCGGACCTGGAACTCAGCAGCACCATCAGCATCTGGCCTGGGGCCCACCTCAGAGCCACACAGCAGGAAGACAAGCTACTGCCTGAGAAGAGCCCTCGGCACATACAATTTCTAATTCTGTCAATGGAATACCACTGCAGTGGAAAGAGATGGAAGCACACAGTCTCTGGTCACAGAGTGGCCATCTCAAGACCGGGGCACCTGGCTGGTGGGGTCTGTACCTGCAGGTCCACAAGCTGTGCGGTTGATTTTCCCTGGAGGCACAAGGCCTGGGCAACAAATGCATGCAGATCCTCCAGGCAGAGTGTGTCCACCTGAAAGCAACAGAAAAGGTCTGCATTAGGTCACAAGAAAAATCCAAGGCTTCTGTAGTTGACCTGAGTCACTGAACATGGGCATGCCACGTACACACAGAAACACAAGCAGGAACACATGTGGGCACACAACGTTTCTTAAGCTGGGGAAGCAATAAGGCCTGCCTGTGGGAAAGCACACACACAACCCTCGGCTCAAAGCCCTCTGGTGTCCTCAGCTGTGCACATGACTCAGGTTAAGCTGGACAGGGGAACCTGGATTTCCAGTAAGGTCTGACTCCTCTCTAGCCAGGAAGAAAGGCTCAGATTGTCTGGGAGTGATCAGGAGGTGCCAACCAAGTCGAGTCTTAGAACAATATGGCGAGCATTTTGGGCACACACAGCAGACCACACAGGCTCTCCAGACAGCACCCACAGCTACGCAGAGTTGGGGTGGCAGGAGGGGCACATCCACCTCCGACAACCTGAATGGAGCTGTGTTCTTGCCAGAGTCCCACAGCATGAACCCTCTCATTTTTTGTGGATTCAAAAGGGCTGACAGAAATACAGAGAAGAGACAGAGAAACAAGGGAAAGAGACAGAGTGGGAAAGCTGAGTCTCAAGTGAGCTGTGGTGATGAAGAAGCCGGAAGAGCAGAGACAGACTGTGCCTCTGCCTCTCTCCTACCTCGCACACACCTGAGACTGCCACTGTCCTCGTGGCCACTGCACTACCCAGTTACCCCCGACTCCACTACTACACAAGAACGCAAGGGCTTTTTCCAGATGGACAGCAGCACAATGTGGCAAGTGCAGGCTAGGGGGAAGAAGCACAACAGTGAACTTAGGAGTCCTGGGTCCCCGATCCCTTCTGAGTAATAAATGCTGGCATGTCCACTCCCAGCAAAGGGGCCCACTGTAACTTTGAGAGGCCATCTATTAGGGAATCCTGCTGACCCCGGCCATGAGACACCACTGGAAAGACACCAACCACATGGAGCTTTGAGTATGTGCCACCCCACTCAGGCAGATAGGCTCTCACCAAGATCGGGCATGTTCCATGTTTACTCCAAAGTGCTGTCACCTTTACACTAAGGACAGTAATGTAAATTATTTCAGGAAATCAGCTGCATATGTACAGTATTCATGACCAGGAAAAAGGATATCAATCTTAGAAGCAAGACCAAGCATGAACTCCCATATCTCTGCTCAGACTGAGGCTGGCTGCAATCCCCCCTCTCGCCATTGTTGCTCCGACAGGCTCTTCTTCACCACCAACCTATCTGAGAAGGGCACTCCTCTGTAACGCATGGAGACTCCTCAGAGGCTGCGCTGGGAAGTCCGACCTCCTGTTGTCGGCAGTGGTTTTCATTAGCGCACCTTATGCAGTAGCTGCTCCACTGCAAACCGCTCATCTGCCACCTCCTCATGAGTCCTGGAGTCTGTCATTGCTGTTAACTTGAAGGTTTGCCCAAACAAGAAGACTGAGCTCCTCTACAGCTTCCATGCACTGTACAGCATGCAGTTTCATCCCACACTGCATAGCAAAACACCAAACTGAAGTGTAACTACACAAAACTAATATTTTCACAAATGTACCTTTGTGGCTTCCTATTCTGAGAATCATCATCCCTATAACTGGAAGCACAGCACCTTTCCACCCTCAAGGACACCCTGTGGAAAGTTCCTCTGTGACCAAACTGACATATCCACTTGCGCCAAGAGAGGTCATGGTCAGGACAGGGTGGAATCCTCGTCTCCCTGCTGCCTTGCTCCAAGTCTCTATGAAGTGGACATGAGGCTAAGCTCTGGGATGCTGGGCTCTTCCTGCCTGCACAATGAAGGGGAGCACAGGAGAGCTGTCGCATGAGCAGAGATGGATCACAAAGCCATCTCCACTGTGGGAAAAGGCGCTCAACGTGCCCACCCCAAGAGTGCTGATGCATGCCACTCCACTGCACACAGCACTGCCAGCAAGGGACTCATGTTATGGGGGAGAAAAGTCCACTCTCTGAGTATCCACTGCTTCCCAGTTTTCACTACGTCTCAAATTCAACCATAGACGTATGAAGATAAATGAAAAATGGATGAAAAAAAGGAACCAATGATATACTGATGGACAGTTAACGTGCATACCAAAGAAATTTTAACACTTAAATATCACAAAATTCCTGTCATCCATATAAATTTATGCTTTTTATCTTGTACAAAGAAGTATTCTACTCAATCCAGTAACAAAAACTAAAGTTTCTACTAGTATATGCTATAAAACCAGTAACAGAAGATCTGTCTAAACACATCCTGTTTTTACAAAATGGTAGCTACAGAATGGGCAGAGAACACTTAAAAAAGAAAGCCGGTGTACAGGTACAATTCCACAACAGGGGAGTTTTCAAAGGTAACCAACAACTGAATGACATCTCACTCTACACAACGAGAAGCTGAACAATACATGCCAGAGCAGACCCACCCCAGGGGGAGGGCAACAGGGAGATGGGGCCTGACGTTCACAGGGCTAGTGACTGTCCTGACGGCTGTAGAAGAGACACACACCACAAGCAGGAATGATGTTTCTGAAGACAAGTGTGGGAAGGAGACACCTTTAACAAGTGTCCAACATGATCACAAATATGGGGAAAAAAAACAACAAAGAAATGCCTTTTAATTGGCTTTTATGATTTTCTTACATAAACTAAGTGTAAGACTACTGAAAAACAAACAGACCAACTTGCTGAGTGGCACTAACATGAAGGATCTGGCACTGCAATTCTTACGGCGCAGTCCATAGCCAGGGCCACATGAGCTCCTTAAGGCAGGAGAACATCAGTGACAAGAACAGCGAGGACATCAGTGGACATCATACAGGGCACGACTGCAAAACGCTTCACGTACTCTAGAATATGGTTTCCAATAACCCCAGAAGGCAGCTATTGCTATTATCTCGTTTGCAGACTGGAAAAGGAAGTTATATACTCAGTAAACATTTTTGGATAAAGGAATGGACATGACCTGAGGAAGCTGCAGGGACTGCCCAAAGGCAGAGCAACCAAGGGAGAAGCCAGCCACTTTCACCCACCACTCTATGGGACCCAGGAGCAGAAGCCACCCACTAATCACAGGAGGACCAAGGGCAGGGATGACAGTCTGAGACAGTGAAACCAAAGCACCTCACCTTTCCAAAGCTTCTGACTAACATGTACCATAACTCCTGAGTTTAGAGCAAAGACAGCCCTTGGTCACATCTGAGCACAAAGCTTTTTTATTTATTTATTTTTTTTAGATGTTGATAGACCTTTATTTTATTCATTTACTTATATGTGGAGCTGTGAATTGAACCCAGTGCCTCATACAGACTAGGCAAAAACTCTTATCACTGAGCACAACCCCAGCCCTCACAGAGCCTTCTTCTTCTATGAGCAACTCGAAAGACTAACAGTGTTCCATGGAAGAGACACTGGGAAAAGATACCCCAGGGACAGTCATAGCACCCCAGGAAAAATGGGCCAGAATGAAGATCAGCTTCAGACACAGTAACAAAACTTAGTGTTACCTGGACAAAGAGGTAGATCAAGAGGCAGCACAGAGCTCTCAATGGGCTTTCGACAGCCAGCAGCTCGTCTCTTGAAGAGGAGAGGTTGAAACAGGCTAGGAGTGCATCCAAACGCCGGGCCTGCGCTGCTGGCTCTTGGTTTAGCCACAGTGATTTCAGACTGGGTGTTCCCCCTAATTAAAAAAAAAAAAAAAAAGCCTTCTTACTCTTTTTATTTGCAGCACCAAACTACTAACAAGCTTCCTCTGGAAACTCAGCAAGTGCAAACATCTCTTCCTTCATTCTATACTTGAGGCCTCAAACCTTAAAAGAAACTGGAACATAAATATGAACACAGCTTCCCAATTTTAAAAGAGAACAACACCTGAAGGGTCAGTACACACATTTCACTGAAAATCTTCTTCTGTGGGAAGCTGGGACTCTAGCTCCCACTGTTGGAAATGCTTCTGAAAACAGACTGCACTGGGCAATTCCAGGGTGTGACAAGGGGCGCCACCCTGTGGTGGCACACCTCTGGGTGTGCTGTGAGGGGTGCAAGAGAACCGGCTGCAGGACCATTGGATGTGTTTTCCTGGGATCTGTGGGGACGTTCTGCTCAGGGGAGGCATGCCAGGGATTCTACAAGCCAGGATGTGGGCATCTCAACCTCACGCTTTAGAAAGCACTGCCCTGAACTTCAGAAAAATTCCTAAAAAACTGATTTTTAGTGTTCCATTTCTGTACTTTACACATACATTTCTTTAAAAGTCAAAAGAAAAACCCTTCATCTACTTAAGGAAAAGCAGCAGTGAATGTGGGAAGACACAGCAGACACGGGCAGCTCCACCCTGAGCAAACGAGAAGGTGCCGCCATGAGACTGGTGGAGGGTAAAACCTCTCCATGATGCTCAGCAGCTTTGACATCCTGTCAGGCCGCTGCTACACAACATATGCCAAAAGCACAGGGACAGCTGGGGTAAGAGTTCCCATGTGTTGGGCTGGGATTGTGGCTCAGCGGTAGAGGGCTCGCCTTGCACAGGTGGGACCCGGGTTCGATCCTCAGCACCACATAAAAATAAAGGCATTGTGTGTGTCCATCTATACCTAAAAAAATAAATACTCTTAAAAATATATATAAATTTAATTTTAAAATTTATATCCCCCTAAAAATGAAAATAAAATTTGAAAAAATGCCTAATAGGCTATGGATAGGTGGTTGTAGACAAGTTCTTAAATGTCCAGACAAGGAAATATGTGTTTACCAAGAAACAAGAAAGGCTAACCAAAAGGCACCAGAACCCAGGGTCTCAGAAGGAAGTCTTCACTCTCTTTTGTCCCTTGAACCATCCAGTGTTCTCAGGGGTACTTCTCCCACCGTCAGAAGTGAGGCACTCACATGTGCTAGGTGAGTGCTCTACCACTGAGCCACAACCCCAGCCCCAAGGTCACCTCAAGGACAGGAAACTCAGGCAGTGCTCAGTTGAGGGCAGCACTGCTGTCTGCCTGGCTTGGCCACGAGCAGAACAGGAGGCAGCAAAGCACCCTGCAAGCTCTCCTGATGGGGAAGGAAAGGTCAGTCTGCAGGATCCCACAACTGCTACCCAATATCACAACACCAAGAACACCTGTGATGGGGAACAGGCACTCTGCCTGCCCCTCTAGTTCAAAAATCACTACACAATATTCGTCATGCCTATTAAAAAGCATTAAAATGTTAAAATCTTATCTTTTTTACTGATTGTTATCAACATAACTATAAACAAAGAGCCACAGAAGTTCCCAGTCCTATTTTTAGCTTTCTAGCTATGGAACACACACGTGTCTGAGCCGAGGCCTTTGGGGACAGCAGAGGCAGCAGGCCATGGTCCATGGCACTGCACACACCATCTGCAGCTCCAGATGCCAGGCAGAATGCTTTCAAGACCACCAAAAGGAATTTTTCCAATACTCACCTGATTTCTAGAGTTTATATACAGCAGACTTTAAAATTAACACATGATATGTTGAACAGCCAAACATTCTAATTTGAATCATGAAGAAAACTGTAATAAGCCATTTCCATGTAACTTTTGGAAAGATACCATAAGATGGAAGTTATACGTATAACAAAGCACTCTTGGAAAATCATTTTGGCTACCCTATAAAAAATTCTTCTTAATGTAAAATCAAATATCAATGTGCTTTAATCTATTTTTGTGATAACTTCTTTTTTAGGGTTGAGTCTATCGCAGCTAAACAGCTAAACGAAAAAGGAAATATGCCTTACAATAACTTTTCTCAACATTTCTCCTGGTATAATTTCACTTATTAAAAAACTACTTGCAGGGCTTGGATCCATATTTGGTAATATACACTCATGGAATGTAAAGTGGCAATGCCAAAGAATTAGTATATGAAAATAGAGTATCAAAATTTTAGAAAAAATATTTGTTTCTGAAATAATGACATGGGCTACTAAATATAAATTCTAAAACCCACCCTTCCTTCTCCAGAGCTATCAATACGCAGGACACAGCCCAACTGCTGGGTGCCCCGACTGTGTTCATATATTGAGAATTGTGCAGAGAAAGGTTGATGTTTGGATTCACTTCAGCTGGTTTTTCATGACCTTTGTTTTTCCTTCCTTTTCACAAAGCTCTAAGGCATTGGCTATGAAAAGAAAACTTACTTTTCCAGATCCAATAAGTCTCCTTGATCTCCCCTTTCTAGTACTGTCCCTAGAAAAAATATATTTCTGAAGACACGAGCTTATTCAGACAGAACATCAGGAACCCTACCTTGTGAATTCAGAGGTGCTTTCAGCACCCAGAGGCAGGTAGGGCACGGGGCAGCAGTGGCCTCTGATCACAGCCTCGCGTTTCTTCCTTGCCACTGCTCTGGGCCTTGAGCAAGAAGAGGAAGAAGCAGAAGCATGCAGCAGACAGGCCCAGAACCTGTCCTCTAAAGCATGAACACCTTACCAGAGATGCGCTCCTCTAAGGCCAAAGGCTGAAGGAAAATCAGTGTTTGCACAGCACTGCATAGCTCATCGCTGGGCTCACATCCTACATCGAACAGACCACGGCTGTCTATACCTGGAATGATCATCGGCAGAGGCCTGACGAGGTCCGGGTGCCGCAACGGGTTCCCAGGGTACACGAACCACTCCTTCACAGCCAGGCTGGCGCTGATGTCATCTGAGGAAAGACAGCAGGTCAGAGGGCAGGAGGCCCACTTGGTCTATGGGCACGTGTCTGCCCCATGAGAGGTCCTCTCCCTGAGGGGACCTGACTTGGACAAGGCACTGACAGCTTTTTCCTTCCCTGGCCTGAAGGCAGCCCTCATTCCAAGGAAAGCCAGAACCTGGGGACCAGACCTGCCAGGTTCCTCCCACTTTATTCATACTCTGGCAAAAAATACTGAGAGAAAAATGCTGGGAGAGAAAAGTCCTTTCGATCTTTAATAGACTCTGAAAAAAGTTGGTACAATAAGCCAGGCACATTGGTGTAAACCTTAAATCCCAGCAACTCGGGAGACTGAGGCAGGAGGATTACAAATTTGAGACTAGTTTCAGCAAACTTAGTCAGAACCTGTCTCAAAATAAAAAAATAAAATGGGTTTGGGATGTAGCTCAGTGGTAGAGCTCCTCTGGTTCCAGCCCCAGTACCAAAAAAAGAAAAGAAAAAGGTTGGTACAATAATCCAGAACAAAAGGGCTTACATACAACAGATGAAGAACTGTAGGAAAACTTAGCTTGACCTCACTTCTGTGTCTCACTCAGCCTGCCAATGTGAAGGGCACTTTCTACTCAACACTCCTGCTGGTCTGGAAACCCTCAGGCACAGCGGCAGGATCTCCATAGCAACAGAACAAGCCCCTGCTCCATACCTCCCTCCTCCTGCCCCCAGGGCCACTGGCTCCCTTGCTCAGAGGGCTCTCTGCACCCAGTATGATATGAGTACCAGAAAATATAATAGGATTATTGACTGTGGATTATATTAATTAGTGTGTGTGTTAGATAAAGACTTTAAGTATTATGTCCATGGTGTAATGTAAACTACAAAATTTAGATACTAACTGCAGAACTTAGATATGACTTAAGTTAGTGCTGTAAGAGTCTACATCCAGGGGGTAGACCCCAGAGCTCACCCAGTTATCAGCTACAAGCACAATTGAAATAGGACTTAAAAACCCAGCCTTCTAGGGGCCAGTGGGACTAACAAGACCCGGATGGAGAGACGGAGACCTCTGTCTCTATTGGTCCCCTTGCACCAGACTCCTCTGGCATGGATCGAGTTCCAATGACCTGGACTTAAAACACATCACAAGTGAATGCCTGGGACCCTTGTGTGTAGCCTCACTTAGGACTCAGAATTAGGATGTGTATCTGAAGTGTAATGAGCATTAATAAAACAGATTTGGTTGAATCTAACTACACCTCAGACTGAGTCTGTAGAAACCACACATTGCAGGCATTGTTCCCGTCTCCGGAGCCTCTCACTGGACCTGGGAAGCCAACGCCTTGCTCACTGCCCTCACATGCTTTGTTCAGGTTTGCCCCACCCTGCTCTACTGCGATGTTGCTGCTATGTGTTTATTCCACTCTCCCTGCAACTGGCCCCTGCATATCAACACTCAATCCTTTCTAGGCTCCTCCCCACTCCATCTCCTCCTCTGCAAAGCTGCTCTCTTCTTGCCCATCCCTAAAGCTAGTGTCTCGGGTTCAGTCCTGCCCTGGTGCACAACTAGGCTCTGGGGCTGCCTCCAGCATGCCTCCTCGAGCTCCAGCACAAGCTGGCCCTCACTGGCCAACAGCAGAAACACATTGTCCATGGAGTCCTTCCAACTGCACAACAGGTAAATCACACAACAGGAACAAAAGGCCAGAGCAGGGTCTGAGCAGAAGGCTTGGGCAAGCCAGGTGCATCTCTCCAGGACATGAGCCTGCCCTACACTTGCTTTTTTCCACAGGTGCCAAGCATCAACCAGCCTGAGCCTGACCGGGCTCCATACATCATTTCCTACCCACTTCCAGTACCCAGGCATGCCCATCACACCTAGGCTGTGTCCTGCCTGGGAAGAGAACTGCCCCTGAGATTGTCCCCTACCTTGTCCTCCACACTGGCACTGAGGAGGTGCTGGCTTGGTCCTTGGCTCTCATCTGCAGTCTTAGCCTCAGCCAAGCCAATCTCCAATGCAAATGGAGGGAGGTTTTTTTGTCTTTTGCTTTTTTAAAATGAAAATTTAACCAGGCTGCTGCCTAATTAAGATCTCCCAATGGCTATACTCCTGAATACAAGTGTCTGCTGCTTACCTCTGCCCCAGAACTCTTCTGGGTGCTGCAGCAGAGTCGCCTACCTGGCTGCAGGTCCTCAGGGCCTCCTACTCACTGTTCCTCCTTTGCTGGCTACAGTGTTCCTTTGCTCTGGAACTGTCCCTTGCCACCTCCCTTGTTCTCCACTTGGTTACATCCTTTCTCCTTGCGTCTCAGTGTGGCCTGTGGCCTTGAGTCCACACAGCAATGCCTTCCCTCCTATCTTCTCTCCAATGCAGAGCTTTGGCCAGGTACTGCTGATGCCCACTTATTAACCATTGATACAACCCCAGCTTCAAGCTTGCCATAGCAAACTCTGTTCTTAGCAGAAGGCCAGACCAGACACTCATGAACTGAACTGAATGAACACTTCAACTCATCCTGAATTTCACACACACACACACACACACACACACACACACCCTGAAAAGTATTCTTACAGCTGTTAAAAACAAAACAACAAAAACACCCACTCTGTGTGGTCCAACTGAGGTGATTTTCACTGCACTGGAAGATCCTGGGTGGACAACATGCTAAACCACAACTGGCTCTCCTCCCTCACTGGAAACAGCACTGCCAAAAGTATCCTTGGGAAATTGCTGAGTACAGACAGCTATGTACTCTGCAGACTCCGCATAGGAAAACTCCTGGCTGCCACACATAGAACCAGCTGGCTAGAGGACAGAAGCTAATTATACTGCTGGCTTGATTTTTTTATTGCCCAGATAGCATTTCATCTGGAACTGGTAAACCCCAGGGAAGGGCGAGGGAGAAGAACTGGTAATAAATAGACAGGTGTTAAAGTTGCACTGTCCCTTGGAGTACAGGTGCAGGGACATTTAAATCAGAGCCAGGAAGCCAGACAGTGTGCCAGACTCTCATTAGCAGAAGTCACATCTGACTCTGCTGGCAGGCTCTGTGCAGCTCTGCTTCCCCCTGGCCGAGAGGAGGAAATACAGCACTCAGGGCTAGCCCTGTCAGCATCCATGAAGAATGAGCTTGTGTTGTCAACATCCAGTTTGACCTTTCAGTTGCAGCATTTTCAATCCCTAGTCCAGATCGGCACTGTCACACACACAGTCACACCTAAAAAACTCTGCTAGACACTACACTACACACACACACACACACACACACACACACACACACACACACACACGCTCTTAAGTACCAGCTCCCGCCATCACCGGCAAGATCAAGGAGTGGGGTGGGCTACACTGGGCAGGGGGAAAGAGAAGGAACAGCAATGTCAGCCCTTCATTATTGGGATGTTCCAATTTGGTAATAATCTCCCAACTTTTCAAAAGCTGTATCTTTCCTTTTGGTTCTATGATATTTTTATATTGCTGCCTTAGTCTATAATTGTGTATGGCCTCAGTTCATATGCTAGTTTTTACACACATCCGAAAAGTTACCCACTGAGTGAATATTTAGGATGGGCTGTACTCAGAAGGCCAATGGCTGTCCTCTGACAATATACCGACCATCCTGAAGTTCCCCTGGTTCCTGGGATGTCTGCTGGAAGGAAATGAGGCAAAAGGGACAATGGGTCCGAGGCTGCCAGCACGCATGGGCTCCTCCAACACCGTCAGCCACGGATAGCTACAGGAACAGAGCAGACCGACCCCACCTCTTACATGGAGTCTCTTCTACACCCTTACGTTTAATGGAAGCTTTCACTGAATGATTCAAACTATGATATATCCATTAGAGGAGACTCAAAAAGAGACACAAAGGCAAGAATGGGTATGAAAGCAGGGACTCTGGGGCTCCCACCCTGTTGACCACATGCCATCTAGGACATTCAAATAACACATGCTCAACTACACAAAGCACACATGTGGCAATACCAACACACACTCCTTTGAGGCCCCCTGTGAGACATCAGGTGAGCTGACATGCCTGAGATCAGGATCCAAAATGTATCGTTGGCGGGAGCTTGTAGGACCAGCACACCAGCCCACTGCCTGAGACTTGAGATTGCCGACTCAGGCCACGTGAGGGTGAGCTGGGCTCTAGGCTGGGTCTGCACCATGAGAATGAGTGGTCCCTCCATTTAGTCAGGCTGGCCTGGAGACTGCTACTAACCTGAGAAGGCTGAAGAACACGTCTCCCACCTGAGTATTAAATCCGATCACAAGTTACCTTCTCTGCATTGCTGACTGTACACACCCTTGAAAATCTAATATGTTAACTAAACATTCAAAACCCTTAAACTCAATACCTGATGCACACCAAGAAACCCACCAGGGGCAGCAAAAAACCATCGTGCCAACATTTCATCCCAGCAAGAAGGACAGACAACCAGGCACAGGAATGAAAGCACAACTGTGAAAAGTCTAAGCATGAGAGCCATCATACGCTGTAAGAGCGACGGACTTTTGACTGACAATAAGGGAAGATATGGGGGAGTCAGTTTTAAGGACTTGAGGGATAAACAGAATTGATCAGACCTATGCCTAGGGTTAGCATGGTTTAAGCCAGAGAAAGATTCTGTGCTGTCAACCTGGGCAGTTCCTCAGGAACTGCCAGAGACAGCTTGGATATAAATGTGAGGACTCTGCCATGTGGAGTTTGGCAGATAGCTGGAGCCCAGAGGGAGGGAAGGGGGCTCGATCCCAAAGCCAAAGATGCCAGCGTGATTCCCATCCCCAGGCTAAAGAGAGTGGAGGACTTCAGGAGGAGAGGAGAAGCAGTGAATTTCACATAGGTCAGGGCAAGTGGTCTTGGGAGCTCAGGTGACTGCCCAGGAAGGCAGGAAGGCCCTGCCTAAAGAGCAGGGTGGTACCAGCTCCAAGGCATAAACTTTCAGGGACTAGAAAATTAACTGCTAAAATAGAAAAATTAACTGCTAGACATCCTAGCACCTAAACGTTCCAGCAAGCCAACCAAAGATGCCTGATGAGAGAGTAAGCAGAAGATGAAAAGTCAAGACAGACTTGAGGAAGCCACGAAGGGAGCCACGCCACAAGCAAATCTTGATGAAAGGAGGCTCAATTTCTTTCAAAAACAGACAGGAAATAAAAGCCCACAGATCCACGGAGCTCAAGAAACTCATAGAGGAACAGAAACTCGAACAATGCAAAGCTCTTCCTCATAAAACTGCAGAAAACCAGAGCAGCTCAGGAAAAGACAGAGGACATATAGAAAAAGCAATGTGAAGGACCTGTGATGTCACAGGAGAAACATACCAGGACCTTTCAACATGCTGAAAGCAAAAACAACACGCCTGAAGTTCCATATTCAGCAAACCAAACCTTGAAAATAATAAATTTTCAGGAAAAATGCTCAGGATATCTAAGGCTGCACCATCAACAATGTTGGACAAGTTCTTCAGATGAAGGAAGGCAGCACTGATTGGACCCTGCAGCTGTGCAGAGGGATGAAGAACTGGCAAGAGCACAGAAACACTTTCTGTGACTTTAAAACACAGCTGTTCTGATTTCTTTAAAACACAGCTGTTTGGAACAGGGGTTGGAAAGCTACATTCATGGCCAAACCTGGCCTGCTTATTTTCACACAGCCTGAAAGCTAACAATGCATTTCATATTTTAAAGTGGTTGGAGTTGGGTGTGGTGGCACACACCTGTAATCCCAGCAACTTGGGAGGCTGAGGCTGAGCAATTTAGTAAGACCCTGTCTCAAAAAATAAAAATGGCTGGGGATGTGACTAAGAGATTAAGTGTCCTTGGGTTCAATGGCACCAATAAATAAATAAGAAAGAAAGAAAATGGTTGGGAAAAAGGAGGGCACTTAATGACTCAGGAATGATGTAAAATCCAAGGTGTGTCACAGAGAGAGGTTTGCTGGTGTGCAGTCACACATATACACCCCATCACTGGAGGCCTCTCACACTGCAGCAGCAGACCTAGGCCGCAGAGACAGATGGTGGTCCTCAGAGCCTAAGATGCTTTTCTGCCCTTCACAGAAAAAGCTAGCTTGGCTTAAACTAACAGTCACAATCATGTATTGTGGGGTCCAACCCTGTTTGCAATCTCCAGAGGTTATATACCACAGACCACTGTATTCTTGAGCAGAAACAGGAGATGGAGAGCAGCTCAGCAGCCACAGGGGAAGGATGCTAAGGGCCTGCCAGTGCTCTGTGCCTTGCTTATGGATGGGCTCACAGGAATTCTAGCACGGGAGACAGCTATACGGGACTGCATATGTGCATGTTGCACAGTCACAAAGAAGCTTGTGGTGCAGGCAGTATGACTGCAGCAGGGTCAACTTCCTGGTTTTGATGTATATTAGGGTCAAAAAAAAATGCCACCTGGGTCAGGGTTGTGCTCAGTGGTAGATCGCTTGCCAAGCATGCATAAGGCACTGGGTCTGATCCTGGTACCATTTAAAATAAACAAAATAAAGGTATTGTGTCCATCTACAACTAAAAAAAAAAAAAAAAGGACACCACCTTTAGAGGAAGCCGGGAGTAGGTGCATGAAGATCTCAGTGCTGTCTCTGCAACTTCCTGTCAAACTATAATCATTCCATGTTTGTTCTTAAAAACATATAGAAGACATGAAATAATAAAAGGTCTTTATGCAGAAGGTGAAAGTGGCAAGCTACTATGTGAAACTAAAGTGTAATGTTAAAGATACACATGTAAACCCTAAAGCAACCACTAAAAAAACCAAAAAAGGCAAATACTCCATATGAGAGTATGAAAAAAAATACTAAAGATTATCCAATGAATCCTAAAGTCAAAAAAGGAGAAAGTACAGAGCAAAGAACAAAGTTGAAGGCAACTCCAAAACATCAGCGATCACACTAATGCAAACAGACTGACCGTTTCACTCATAGATTGTTAGACTGGACATGCTATGTACAAAAAGTGCACTTCAGATAACAAGAATCACCTTACACGGAAAAGGACAGAAAAAAGACACTATACACACAGAGACACAAGTTGAGTGTACACAGTGACCCGACAAAGCCAACTGCGGAAAAGAGTAGTCCAGATTAAAAAATAAAATAAGATCTAATTTTCAACTTTTTACAAGGGTCAATTCATTAAGAAACAATGAACTGGTGCAATGTATGTGCACCACACAACTGAGTTTTAAAATACTTAATGCAAAAGCTGACAGAACTATAGGAAAAAAGATGAATCCATGGTAATAGCTGGAAATATCAGCCCTTTTCTCTCAGCAACTGAGAATGAGCAGACAGGAAATCAGTACATCACTGACATTCACAGAACATTTCAATCTGTAACTACAACACACAGTACCTTTAGGTACACATGGAACAATAACTTAAGTCAGGCAAAAAACAGAGCACACTCCACTGTTAATCACCATAGATAAAGCCAAAGCATTTTATTTTTATATTCTTTTTTTTTTTTTTTTGGTACCAGGGATTGAACTTGGGGCACTCGACCACTGAGCCACATCCCCAGCCCTATTTTGGATTTTACTTAGAGACAGGATCTCACTGAGTTGCTTAGCACCTCACTTTTGCTTCGGCTGGCTTTGAACTGTGATCCTCCTGACTCATCCTCCCAAGCCACTGGGATTACAGGCATGTGCCACTGCGCCCAGTTTTATTTTCGTATTCTAAGAAACTAAACTTCATGTGCAAATCCATAAAGTTGAGGGGGAAAGAAAGGAAGTAAAGATAAAATGTGAAGACAAGTTCTATTTGAGTATTTTTTCTTATTTATGTGGTTATCTAATAACATTATCTGTAGGGTTCTAAGTAAGTTACATTAAGAAAGAAAATCTAGGTAGTAAATATCACTTACCAAAATAGTATAAAAACAATACCTAGAAAATATTATACTATAATGTAAATTTTTTTTTCTTGAGAAGATATCACCTTTTAATCACTAGAGTATAGAATTATTAAAGTTAAGAAAGAATATGGGGGCTGGGGTTGTGGCTCAGTGGTAGAGCGCTTACCTATCATGTGTGAGGCACTGGGTTCGATTCTTAGCACCATATATCAATAAATAAAATAAAGATTCATCAATAACTTAAAAAAAAAAAGAAAGAAAGAATATGGGCAGAAAGCCACATTGGTGGCGCACGCCTATAATCCCAACAGCTCAGGAGACCGAGGCAGGAGGATTGTGGGTAAAGTCAGCCTCAGCAAAAGTGAGGCAGTAAGCAACTCAGTGAGACCCTGTCTCTAAATAAAATACAAAATAGGGCTGGTGATGTGGCTCAGTGGTCGAGTGCCCGAGTTCAATCTCTGGTACCCCTCACCAAAAAATAAAAATAAAAAAAAAAATTTCAAGTTCAAACATTTGGCATTTGGTCCTAGAATTTATTTCTGTGCTTTGGCACCTTCCCTGTGTCTACACAGCACATGGGAGGAGGCAGGGCATGCTGTGTGGCACTAGGAGTCTACTCAACTGGGAACTCCAAGACCCTACTGCCTCCTCCCAAAAGAATGACAGGGAGATGTAGCTCAATGGTAGAGGGCTATATGCCCTGCACAAGAGCCTGGGTTCACTCCCTAGTACTAAAAAACAAAACAGAAACCAAAACCAAAAGGAAGACAGCTTTTTCATCTGGCAATTGCATCAGTATCTTTAGATTATGCAAACATCTACCTTCTAGAATAACAGACTGATCTTAATAATATTGATATGTCTGGAAATATGGTGCTCAGTCAAGCAAATGGGCCCCAAGCATCCTCTTATTTGCTAGTTTCAGACCATGTTCTTAACCAAAGTTCTGTCCAATCAGAGTACCTGTCCAATCATAAAGTACCTGCCCAAGGTCTCCTTCTAAGAAGCAAGGCTTCACACAAAGAACTAAACAATTATGCACCCCTGGTTTCTAATATGCAGAGCTCTTCCTCACTCCTGACTCCCTCAAACTACTCCTAATAGTGAGTTATGGGACCTGATTACCTTAACACCTGGTATACAAGTCCTTTTTACCATTCTGGACATTCATGGTCCTCCTATCAATGGCTAAGCATTCAATGGAAATAAGAGATAGAAGAAAATATAAACTTAATTACAAAATTCCAAAGGAAAAAAATGACTAGATATTGTATAATTATTTTATGAAAAATCAGTTTGAGCAGCATCTAAGTAGACACTGTCTTCTAATAATAAGTATCTGTAGTCCTCAGGCAGGAAAGAGTATTCATTTTTAAAAAAAACACAAGTCCTTTTAAGGAATAAAGAACGCATTCTTCATTAATGAGTGCTGATCCACTGCTTGCTAATTAAAACAGACATCTCCTGGCACTGTTCCTTAATTATTTACAGATGTTATTGTTTCTCAATCAATGTTTTACTGAGAAACAAAACCTACTTAATTGTCAGACGGAACTGTAACTGAGAAAGACCATCCAGCTCTTACCTCTGCAGCTGCCCAGGAGAAGAGTATAAACACGCTGTCGGACGGGACGGTAAACGAAGGCCTGGCTGGGCAAAGCCTGGTCAAGCTCATCTTCCAAGGTGTTGCTGCACTCGATCTCTCCACTGCTGACAATGCTGTATACCAGGTAGCTTTCTGCCTGGACGTGATGCATCCTGGCGACCTGTTCAAAATTCAGATACAATGGATTTCTCCTTAAAAACAGTGAGTGGCCTTCAAAAGAAAGTCAATAACTTTCATTTCATGCCGGTTTTGAGAAGGCACTAAGAAAAATCACTCAAAATCATGATATCAAGTGGCATTTGTTTTCTTTCCTTTGAACTTCCAAGTTTAAAACTGTTTATATTCCTTTTCCTTTACCTTTCTCACTCCATCCACCAGTCTTACTAGTATTACCTCTTCAGTGATCATTGCTTTTTCCACTTGACACCTCCCAGGAGCCAGGTGCTCGCTACTTTTCACCAGGGTCACGGCTTCATGCCTGTCAACACTTCCACTTGGAGGCCCAACTCCACCTTCCTCAGTTTCTAGCCCATCCTTTTCCATGCAGAAAGCACTTACAAATGCTTCCCAGTAAAAGCTGTCCTCATCCTTTTCCACTATAACTCTCCTCAAGAATGAGTATAACATAAGTGCTTCTGAGAAGCGACCTCCAACTTGTGAGAGAAGAGAACACGAACAGTGTCAAGGAGGAGATGGGCAGTGGGAGCTTTCCAGGAGGAGGACATGTGTAAGACAGTGATACTACAGAGCTGCAGGAAAACAGGAAAGTCGGTGGTGGCCAGGTGCCAGTGAACTGCAGCCACATTCAAGCCATCAGAGTTTGTCCTGAGAGTTACAAAGTACAAATAAAGGGCTTTATTTCTATACACAGCATGACAAATAGACTAGAAGGGGCAAAGCTGCTCCAGAAAATGTCCTTAAAGGTCATGACAGTCATCCTGACAAGAAGTAGCTGGAACTGAGGTGGCAGAAATGAACACTGCACAAATTCACAACTCATTTCATAGATAAGAGTCAAAAGTCATGAAGACTGACTATGAAAAGTGAGAGAATTCCCAGGTCCATAACTGTGTAACTAATGAAGATGGCAAAACTCAGACGCTATGAGCAACTAAAGGTTTTGGGTAAGCACAGGTTTGTTTCTGAACTTGTTGAGATGCCTCTGTACTTTCAAGTGGACAAATACCTGTGAAACCGGGATTAGGGGTGGGAATACAGGTTAGGGGTAGAGCAAACGACTAGCATGTGCAAGGCCCTGGATTCAGTCCCCATCACTGGAGACTGGAGAAAGGTAATGCTTATCTCACAGGGCTGTTGAGGGTTAAATGAGAAAAGATAAGCATTGTGCCGAGCAAAGAACTTTATACAAATGGTACTTATTAGTGGCCCTCCATCAAAACTCTTCAAAGGTTCTATACCATGTTCAGATTTAGTGCAAACTCCTAGTGTGGCATTTAATAACCTTCACAGTCTGGCTGTACACCACCTTCCCCAGTCCTTCCATCCTTCACACCCATACTGCAGTAACAGATTCCAAACACCACAAGCTTTAGGGCTCTTACAACCCCAAGTTTTGTCTATTCAAAGCAAATGCTGGCCTCATGGAGATCTGGGTCTGGTTTCACCTCTTTGGGGGAACTTCTCCCTTTATCTTTTTTTTTTTTTAAAGAGAGAGAGAGAGAATTTTTTAATATTTATTTTTTAGTTTTCGGCAGACACAACATCTTTCTTTGTATGTGGTGCTGAGGATCGAACCCGGGCCGCACGCATGCCAGGCAAGCGCGCTACCGCTTGAGCCACATCCCCAGCCCATCTCCCTTTATCTTAACCCACAAGAGTCTCTCTCCTTAGAATTCCTACAGTTCTTGCCTGTCATGTTCATGTGACAATATCAAGTATATATAAAATCTGCCTTCCTATCTAAACTCAAAGGTTCCCAATCTGTGCCTCCCCAAGTCCTTAACCATTGCACCAATCACTAAATATTTATTAACAAATATTAAAGATATTTCCAATCATAACATCTTTGACTGGAGTGGGCACATCCACCTACCTTTAGGATTTCAGGGTCTGAAACCAAGGTTACTTGCTGTTTTATTTCAGAATCCATATCCATGGGGTTATCTTCTTTAATTTTAGGATGGGCATACATGGGTACTTCTAGATTAAAGTCAGAGTCTGTTTCTACAGGTAATTGTTGCTTGATTTCAGGGTGTGCACATGTGGGAACTTCTTGTTTGGATTCAGGCTCTTTACTCATGGGAACTTGTTTGGATTCAGGCTCTGCACACATGGGAACTTCTTGTTTGGGTTCAGGCTCTACACACATGGGAACTTCTTGTTTGGATTCAGGAACTGTACACATGGGAACTTCTTGTTTGGATTCAGGAACTGTACACATGGGAACTTCTTGCTTGGATTCAGGCTCTGTACACATGGGAACTCCTTGCTTGGATTCAGGCTCTGTACACATGGGAACTCCTTGCTTGGATTCAGGCTCTGTACATATGGGAACTTCTTGCTTGGATTCAGGGTCTGAACTCATGGAAATTACTTGCTTGTCCAACATTATTAAACTTTTGGGTTTTTGGAAGAACCATGGTGAGCTCTGTCCTGGCAAGAGATATGATGCCACTCCTTTATAAAAAAGAGCCCTGTTTGGTCCCAAAGGCAACATCTCTTCTAATTTTTTCTCCCCTTGATGCAAATGAAGAACTTTGGATATGTGATCTGACACAGCTAAGATAATGTTACCTTTTTTATCAAAGTTCTCTTTTACAGAAGTGTAGGAAGATAAGCACTTGAAACGAAAGCTTTCAAACATGCCCTCTGGGATTATGTCATTGCCAAGTAGGCAGGCTAGCAGGGGAAGGTCTGCCACACGGAGGCCCAGACTCTCGCAGAGCTTCTCTCGACAGAGCATGATGGTCTCGAGGCTCTCCAAGCAGAGCTCGCTAATTGAAAAGTAGGGGCACGTGTCATAAATTAAGTAATCAGTGTCTTCCCCAAGAATCCCAAGACAATTGTACTGGAGACCATAGGAAGCCACCTCATAGTCTGCCTCCTTTAACGAACACAAAGTTTCCTGACCCAGAGTCTTCAGAGCGAACCGTGTAAATATAGCCAACCCCGAGGGGATGAAGAACATGTTTCTGCCGGGTTGCTCCCTGTGTGACCTGATGTAATGGAAAATCCTAGAGATCTCCCTGTTGTTCTTAAGTCTTCGTTTCACCCACTCATTTCTCTTACCCTGTTCCACCATACCATCAAAGAAGAATACCAACTTGATGCCAACAGATGCAAAGGAGTCAACAAAATCTCGCAAAGCAGAAAAGTATTCTCGCCATTGGCCACCACAGACCCAAGACTCTGGAGTATACCAGTATCGGAGACAACACATGGCATCCACCACAACAGTAGGAGTACATCCAGGGTACCTGCTTCGGTGATGTTCTGCCAGCTCTCTGAAATTGACTACTGTACATATATGTGGGCAGGTACTTCCCACAAACCCCTGCAGACCTCTCACACCCATAACTGGACTCTGGAAAAGGATCTGCAAAAAAAAAGAAATCCATAATTAGCAACTATGGCATTTTCACTAGACATATGGCACTTTTCAAAGCAAACACAAGGCAATATTTAATATTCCAAAAGACTCGTGTCACCAAACATGACATGCTGGCTAGGAGCCTAAAGAGTGTTCAATTAAAATACAAGGCACTTTGTCTAATCTAAGCATACATTAATGATAGGAGTATCACAAGGACAACACATGTAGCAATCTTTTAAATTTTCACTATTGAATATTCAAGATATTCTCAACCACATTCAAAGAGAATACTTTTCCAAAAAAGTAACTATTACTCATGCAGAAACTGAAATAGTATTTTAAAAACCTACAACACATACTACAATACGCAAGATGAAAAAATTTCAAAGTACATTTGCTGACAAAAAAGGACATACACATGACTCAACTTGTAAAAGTTCTAGCTCCCTTAGAGCTAAGATAGTCTGTAGTGGCAGAAAGCAGAGCAGTGGTAACCACCATGTGGGGAGCAAAGCACAAGGAATTCCCAAGGGGACACTATGTGGTCATAAACAAGTGTACTACTTTGTGCTGAGAGTTTTACAACTGCATAATGCTATCATAAAACTTGTCAAACTGTATACGGAAAACTGTTATCAAGCAGATCTCAATAAATGAATTGAAAAGAAAAATTCATACAAATTCACCATATTAAGTATCGTACTATCTGAATTTGTGATTGATGAAAAAAATAGCCCCTCTAAAAGCTAAAATCAAATAGAAAATGCTCAAAGAATCAAAACTAATAGTTTATAAAAATAAAAATGGAACAAAACACATTTATATCATATGATATCCTCCTTTAGGCAAGGAAAAATCATCAATGCTCAGAAAATATTCTATGAGGACCTCCTGGATTTCAATGTCTACATATTCACATCATTTCCTCTGAGCGATCAGGGTCACATCCAAGCACACAATCACTACAGTCTCCTCTGAGCTGTCAGGTCCCACATCCAAGCACACATTCACCATGGTTTCTTCTGAACCAACATATCAGCAGCCCTCATTTTTCAGTGCACTTACCAGCTACCATGCTGAATTGGGCATCTACACATACAAACTTTAATCTATAAGGCAACTCTAATGAAACCTTTATAGAAGGGCTGGGGATGTGGCTCATATGGTAGAGAGCTCGCCTAGCATGTGTGAGGCACTGGGTTCGATTCTCAGCACCATATAAAAACAAAATAAAGTTATTGTGTCCACCTAAAACTAAAAAAATAAATATTTAAACAAAAAAAGAAGAAACCCTTATAGAAATCAAAAGTTCTAATTCACAAGTGAAGGAACTGTAAACAAATCACTGTGATGACAACAGACACCCTCATAAGACTATCTTAAAAAATATACTTATTGCTACTGGACACTGACCTGTAATAGTTTAATCTGAAGCTATCTGTTTAATAGTCATTAAAAATGAAAATATATAATATATGGGCAGAGATAAATATCACCTATTATATATGGAAACTCGTCAAAGTCCTGACCATGTTATTAAAGAGACTATATGAACACATATGCCTCAAATCACTACTCACTATCACTAGTATAGAGTTTGCTATGGAAACAAAGTCAAAGTATGGAGTTACTACAGTAGAAACTGGGCCCCATAACATAATTATCTCTTAGCTGTTGGGTTTCTGTTGGATTCATGGACATGGATCTTTTCTCCACGATGGTTACACTGCTTTTTCATGTGCTAGAGATCTAACATATAGCTTCACAGGAGCTAAGCAAGAGCTATCACTGAGATAAATGCCTGGCTCCTAAAGGTATTCCTCAATGTTGTTATTTTTATTTTATTTTATTTTTAAAGAGAGAGGGAGGGAGAGAGAGAATTTTTTTCTTAATATTTATTTTTTAGTATTTGGCGGACACAACATCTTTGTTTGTATGTGGTGCTGAGGATCGAACCCGGGCCGCATGCATGCCAGGCGAGCGCGCTACCGCTTGAGCCACATACCCAGCCCCTCAATATTGTTATAACATAGTAAGCAGGGCACAGGCTTTGGGAAAAAAAATACAAATGTTGGTTAGAATAGACTCTAAACTATTATTTTATGCCTTACTTTGAATTAAGCAGGTCAAAGATAAATCTTATAAATCAGAGACTAACTCAGTTCTATGTCCTTCACAGGTCTGTGCTGAGTGCTGGGATATCACAGAGTGCATGGCTAGCCCCTGCTGATTCCTTTCCCATAAGCCCTCAGTTCAGACAGCTCCTAGAAGTTCTGGCTGGGCCACTCAAGACCCAGGAGAAAACAACACACAGGTGGAGAGAGAGCTAAGAGTTGGGCACAGAAACCCCACCAATTGCTGTCCAGAATGATGCCCCCACCTGCACAGCAGGTTTTGTCACATTTGAACTTGTCTTCCTTTCCTTGACATTAAAAAAAATTTTGGGGGGGGCTGGGGATGTGGCTCAAGCGGTAGCGTGCTCGCCTAGCATGCGTGCGGCCCGGGTTCGATCCTCAGCAGCACCACATACCAACAAAGATGTTGTGTCCGCCAAGAACTAAGAAAAAAATAAATAAATGTTAAAATTCTCTCTCTCTCTCTCTCTATCCCCCTCTGTCTCTCACTCTCTCTTTAAAAAAAAAATTTTTTTTTGATGCAATCATTTTCTACTGAAACTGTAAATGACAACAGTAAACTTCTCAAAATAACCACTTTATTTTGCAAGAAGCCAGACTCTGCTTTTATTCAGATGTTTCTGCCCCTTTCTCACACTAGTAGTGAAAAGCCCACTGTTTGACCTGAGCAAGCACAAGCTTTTCCTGCCTTTCACACTGCCCATTTCTCACATTTTGAGTTACAGATAAACCTCAGGTATGCGACATGAAAAAGTGTTCTCCTTTGGCATTTACAAAAAAGAACCAGGGTAGGAAAGGAGTTGGGAATACATGAAGCTGAAGGAGGCCTTCCCATACTTCCACGAATTCAAGTGCTAAATACTCGCCACGCCCACTTTGTAGAGTCCCTGATGGCCACGTCTGGAAGCATCACCCAAGCACAAGTGCAGTCAGCATGAGATGACAGAAGTGTCCAAAAGGACAGGAAACTGCGCCTATCACCTCAAGTAATTACTTTTTGTTTCCCCTTTACTGCTGAATGCATATATGGAGGCTTCTCCTTCTATAAAGGCAGTTATTAAAGAATGACTGAACAAATACGTATAATTGAGATTTCAATTAATTCTCTCTGCAATTCATATAGGAACTTTTTATATGTTGATCACTGCCATTTAGAAAGAAAGTAGGAATCTTGTCTCATTAGGTAGGAGTCTCACTGCCCTAAATACAGTGTGGGACACTGGGGAACCACCACTATTAAGGTGGGCCACTCGGGACAACGACATGGTTATCTGTCTCATCCCAACATCTAGCACAATGTCTCATATAAGGGGCCCCAAATCTATTTGATTTGAAATAATAGATAAATGCAAGGGCAAATGTATAAAAAGAATAGAAATCCACGAAGATTTCTGAGACCCCACATGGATCCTAGGATAGAATACGAAGAAATGCTATCCTCCAGCAGCCCAACACAGGGCTTGCTAAAGCAACACCAACATCAATGCAGGAAGTTCTGAGGAGCTACAAGGAACTGCAGGCACAGTGGATCTGGAGGCTGCTGCTCCTAGGCCAAGCTGCACTTTCCTCTGACAGAGAAGCCTGTCTCAATTGCTGGGCTACTAAAACGTGAAGTGGAAGGAAAAAAGACAAATCCAGGAACTCCTAACTTTCAACTTCTAAACATCTGTGGAAACTGACAGAGCAGCACACCTCAGTCTAGCCCCACCTGATGTTGACCTATGCCAAGGTTCCTCTAGGTCTCTTGGGCACATGAACAGTTCACATCTGCCTGACCCCTGCATAAGGATAACTGTACTTGGCAGCCTAACCAAATTCCCACACTCACCTAAGTAAATGCCCAAGGAATATTTACCACACTCCAGAGCCCTGCTAGGGCTGTGGATAAAGTATGAACCAGATGGTTGGTGGCTCCTGCAGGACAGAAGAAAATCTGGAGCCGTACACATGTCAAAATGTGACCAATGGGACACTTTAAATGTGTAATTTATTTCAAAAGCCCCATGGCAGATGGGCCCCCTAGTCCCACACATCAGTTTTGTTCAGCCTCTTTTCCCAAGGACACATTGCAGTAAAGAGTAGTACAGGCGTAGTTATGGGGGAGGAAATTGACAGTGTGTGCTAGGTGAAAACAACCACTTGCTTAAGGCCACAGACACTAACTAAGAGGAATGGCAGCATCCAAGCCCACCAATATCAAAAGCCTGTCTTCCTTTCCTTAGGCCTCACCCCTCCACTGACACAGATGCATCTGAGGGTGACCTGGTCACTGCACACCAGGAGGGCCTACAGTCTCCTACCCACAGATTATTCCGAGGGCCCTCCAAGGGTAACAGTGACAAGAGGGTCTCTGGCTTTTCCCAACAGCCCTTTGCCTTTCCTTACCCAACTGCAGTTCTACAAATCTTCTTATAAGTGCAGGAAGCACTGTGAAAACAATGTCACTCAACACACACAAAAATGTGAGTATATCTACAAATAGTTATGCTGCCTTACTTATTCAGGATTCAGAATAAGGTCTGATATATATCAAAAAATCCACAAGTTAAAGCTAAAACAAAATTTTCAGGAGAAACTCCTTCAGGCTCTTATCGGCTATGGACTATTTTTCTCCTCAGTTCTAACAACTAAACCCAAAGTAGCAAGTAGAGAAGAATACATGATGGAAAGGGCAACCTTAGGCAGGTATACCGACAGCAGTAAGAAGTTCTGACAGCTGACACAGGGAAACTAAAAGAAAAAAAAAAAAAAAGAATTAAAACAAAAACAAAAAAAGACCAGATTAAAAAAAGCAGAGACCTAAAAACTCCAGGAAAGATCTGCATTACTGTTTATATCACAACATTAAAAAACTACATACAGTTCAATATTCATGTGAGACCACTGAGGAATGTTTGTCACACTAGGCAGAAAAAGAACATATCATAGAACAATTTCCATCCTAAATGGGTTATCTTGGTGCTTAATGAGCAAAAACCTAAATTGAACCAAAATCTCTATTCAGGAAGTTGCTTCTCTGTTTCAAGTTGGCAATGGTTATATTGTAAATGACTTTGTAATAATTTGCAAGAATCTGTAGTGAGTTAAATTTGGGTTCCTAATGCAACAGTATTAATACTGACCACTTTTACAGAACCTGGCATACAAATGCAGATGTGTGCAAGGAGATACACTAAAGTATATAATGTGGCCCACTTTATATTAAAAGTACTAAGGGGTTGTGGCACAGTGGTAGAGTGCTTGCCTAGCATGTGTTAGACACTGGGTTCGATCCTCAGCATCACATAAAAATAAACAAAATAAAGATATTGTGTCCATCTACAACTAAAAACTATTTTTAAAAAAGTTCTATAATAAATTGACTTACACAGTCACTGAGCAATACTATGTCCATGAATGGTGCTCAGGAGCTGGCTTTTTTTGGCTAACAAATGCATAGACTCACTGTATGAATGAAGACAAATCTACATACTCACTAATAACTTGTAAAAAATAATAATTTACCTCCTAATCTGGTAGTCTCTAAACTACTAAAACTCCTCTAGAAAAACTTTAAGCATTATTGTTTATTTTAATAACTTAAACTTTAAAATCCCTTAAGATGCTTGGGCTGGGGATGTGGCTCAAGCGGTAGAACGCTCGCCTGGCATGCGTGCGGCCCAGGTTCGATCCTCAGCACCACATACCAAAGATGCTGTGTCTGCCGAAAACTGAAAAGTTCGATCCTCAGCACCACATACCAAAGATGCTGTGTCTGCCGAAAACTGAAAAATAAATATTAAAAATTCTCTCTCTCTCTCTCCCCCCGCCGAGAAATAAAAAAGAATAAAAATAAATATTAAATATTAAAAATTCTCTCTCTCTCCTTTCTCACTCTTTAAAAAGAAATCCCTTAAGATTTTCCAATAAAATACCTTACAAAGAAACATGTCCAAAAGCAAACTAAAATGCAATTATTTGTTTATTATTATACTCTATAAAAATAACTGATCACATTAGGATTGCCCTGTTTTCAAAGTAATAAAATAAAGGTAGCAATAAATTCCTCTGAATGAATTCCCAGTGTACAACTCTAGTTTCTATGGAGGTAGGAGTGTTTTTATGACTTCAGCTAAGTAGATTCCTATGCATTTCACCATCAACCTCTTAAAGGAGGTAGCAACTCTGTAGGGAAATGAATCTAACAATACCTGCACTTACACTTGCAAGGCAAGAGTTATAAGGTCCTGCCCAACGAGCTGAGTTAGCTCATGCTTAACACCCTTCATGAGCACCCCTAGAAGATGAAGGAGCACGAGTTAGGGAGGGGAAGGTCGAATGGACAAGAGGGTAAATCTCAAGGCAGCAGAGTATGACAAACGGCAAGTTGTATAGGGAATGAAATAAACAACTTGGGGTTCTTCTTTGTAAAAAACAAAATACAAATTATAAACACAGGACAGCAGAGTTCCCAGGGCCTTGGAAGCAACCCACGCGACTGAGGGACATGAAAGACTGAATTTCATTAGTTTCAAGTAAATCTGCCTCATAAATGATACCCAGATTCCAATTCAGGAATAGGGTAGAATTTGGATTGCCATAAAACTACAAGGGACCTCAGATGTCACCTACTGTATTCCTCTCCGTGGGCCAAAGGTTTGAAAGACTAGGTGGTGAGAGGTTTTAAAAACTGGTAGGCAAGGAGGCCTAGAAGAGCAGCGAATGACCTGTCACCGCTGTGCTGGTGGCGCTTCTTCCCAAGAGCTCAACCGGCAAAAAAGCACAGCCATAGCTTCTAAACTGTAGGGGAGCCCAATGGCGATGGCGGGAGATGGGGAAAGGATGAGAAAATTAAAAATCAGAGAATGCACGAAGGCCGCGAGCGAGGCAAAGGGACCGAAAGCAAGTCCCAGGGCCGGGGGTCAGAGATGGTGCACAGAGCTGGCGTCAAACGGGAAAGGCTCCGCACACGGCGGCAGGCCGGCCCCCACCCGGCCTCCGCTTCCCCTCCCGGGCCTCCGCCACCGCCCCCGACCACCCCAGGCGCCGCACCTCCGCCATCCCTCCGGACCCTCGCCACCACCCGGCGGCCCACAGGCCACTGTCAGGTCCCTAGGCCCGCCCTACCTAGAGACGCGAAGAACAGCCAGCAACACACCCACCCCACCCTCCGCCCCGCCGCCTCTGCTTCACTTCCGTTTCCGCCCAAGTGCTTCCGCCCGGCCGTGGAGGCGGGGCGGGGCAGGGACGGCCCGGACGAAAGGCGGGGTGCGTGGTGCGCAGGCGCAGGAGCAGGCCGCAGCGTGAGATGCGCATGTGTACGAGCGGGGGCGGCGCGAGGTGTGTGTATGGGCGCCTTTGGCGCCGAGGGGAGAAGGACGCCTCTGCCTGTTGCCCCGGCAACCATACAACTTCCGGCCCCACTTCCTGGGGCGATGAGCGGACTTCGCCATTTTTCCTCTTCTGCCCTGCAGATAGAGCGTCCTGCGGGGTGGAGTGCCAGCTTGGCGGTGGCAGTTTGTTCCTCGTGGGCCTAGGTCTCATGGCGAGTGTCCGGAAGCCAGCGTCCACGTCCCGCAGCTCGGATCCTGCGACGGTAGCGGGCCTGGCCCGCCGCTGCACGTGCTGATCCGGGCGAGGACGCCACGCCGGCGCTTTGGAGGACGGCGCGGCCGCTGTGCCCGGTCACTGCGTCGGGTAGAGGTGGGGCCGCGCTCCCCCGGAACGACCCCTAGTTTCTACTCCACTCTTTTCTCTACAGTCAGGAGAACGTTGGGGCATCTACATGTGCGACAGGACCTGGGAGACAATGTAATTCATTGTTTAACTTATTGGCACATTCCAATAATAATCGGCCAAAGAGGATGTATATCCGACTTCCTGGGCCACACTGTGTCCTATAAGTCGGCTCTAAACCCTGGCGAGCTAATGAGGCTCCTGCCAGGGGATAAGATGTTTAGGTATCATTCTGGGTTACACATTTTATGATTCCCTCCAGAATCTCTGGCAAAGCCCTTGATAGAGAACTCAAAATATAATGCCAAATTGAGGTGACACCACAGAAGCACTGAAAGATTTGTGAAGGAATCTTTCCAGCCAAGAGGCTGAGGCTTCATACTAATTTTTTTCTTCCAAGTAAAATCAACAAACAGTGCGTAGCACCCGTTGCAGACTGAGGATGGTGGCATTCCATCACAAAAGCAGGTGAAACAGCATCCAGTCTTAAGGAGTACAGATTGTGGAAGAAGACACAAACTGATGGGTGAAATGTTAGAAAACAGGCGAGACATATAGCAAGGGCCATCATGTTATGTTGAAATCTAATTTCCACAGTGATGGCATTTGGAGGTGAGGCTTTGGGAGATGATTGGGTCATGAGGGTGTAGCCTTGGAGAATAAGAGTAGTGCTCTCTCACCTTCTTTCTTCCAGGTGAGGACACAAGGAGAAGACAATCTGCAATCCAGATGGGGGCCCTCAGAGAACCAGCCATTCTAGTTTCAGTCACCAGTCCCAGGACTGTGAGAAACCTGTTGTTTCTAACCCCCCCCCCTTACAGTACTTTGCATTAGCAGCCTCAGTGGACCAGGAGGGAATGAGAAACACCACAAGGAGATGGTAAAAGAATAAGTGGGTTAGGAATGACCTAAGGCAGAAGGTGCAAACCTAGGAGAGAAGGGTGAAAACCAAGTGTTATGGCCCAGCAACCAGGACCACCATCCTCCCAAGAAACAGGAGGCTCATTCAGCAGTGGCAGGGTGTCAGGGATGACCAGAAGGCAAGGCCCACTCTATTATAATTCTCAGGTACCACATAGAGTAGAACATTGCCTTACTCATGAATGTACATAAATAACAAGGATCAACAATCACTGGAGGAAGAGAAAAACCTAAAAGTAATAAAAAAATGCAAGGGGAAAAATGTTATAAAATTCTTTATAGTTGGCAATCTCTGAAGATAATATTACAAATGAAAGAGAAGTCCATCTAGAGAACAAGAAAGACCTCCCCAAAATTAAAGAAGCAGTGAGTTAATAGAAGACAGATTCAACAACACTCTTAGATGATGGAGAAAGAGCACAAGAAGATTAGAAGATAAATTCAAGGAGTCTGACATGAAAAATAGGAATTACATGAAAGGAGAATAGAGAAAATTATGAGAAGGAAATGAAGAAATGACGCAAGAAAACTTTCCAGATCTTGAAGACATTTTCTCATGGAAAGGAACCACCAAGGACCCAGCACAAAACTTAATTGGAAAGGATCCACACCAAGGTATATCATTACAAAATTTCAAAACATCAGAGAAAATTTATTAAAGCTTCTGGAAGGGAAAATAAAAAAGCTCACATTTAAGGCATACAAAATTACAATGGCATGGAAATTCCTTATAGAATCCCACTATAGTGCATACCTCTCATCCCAGCTATTGAGGAGGATGAGGAATGATATCTCAAGTTCCAGACCAGCCTGGGCAACTTAGAAAGACCCTGTCTCAAAAAACAAAAAGGTCTGGGGATGTAGTTCAGTGATAAAAGGCCCCTGGGTTCAATCCCCAGTACCAAATAAAGAAAAATCCCAGAAAGCCAAACTATGCTAGACCATTAACTTTAAGATTCTGAAGAAAATAATCCATTAAAATCTTAAATTCTCAGCAGAATAAAGACACTTTAAAGTATGCAAGCTCAAAAACGTTGTCTATCAAATACCATAACTCAGAAAGCTGATGGAAGATATTCTAAGTCAAGAAGAAGAGTATTGAGGGCCTATAAAACAGAAGAGAAGGGGAAACCCAGGACAAGAGGTTGGAGAGTGTAGGCCTCCAGAAGAAACATCTGCAGCAAAGAGTGAAGCTGTGAAGCACCTCATGTGCTTGAGGTTTAAACAAGGTCTTCAGAGTTTGGCGATGATCAGTAAAAGCCATACAAGAAAGCTGATGAGCAAAAAGCTGGGCAAAAACTGAAACCAGCAAAAGTGGAGATGTAACTGCAGCCTGTGCCTCAGCTGTGCATGATCATCACGTGATAAAATAGATTCTGAATGGAGCATTAATGGACAAAGTACGGCCACAGCCATTTTTAAGAAAGGGTGACCCTAACTGTGTAGTCGGGTTTTCATTTAGGAAGTGAGGGTGCTAGAGCTAGGATCCAGAATCCACACATTGGAAATAAAGGCCTTATAAGAAAGATCTTTTCAAAATCAGAGTAAATTCCAAGTAAGTAGCTAAGAGATAAATGTGGTGGAAGGAATTGGGAATGGGAATGTGTAGTGTGGGCAAAGACTATTTTTGTCACAAATTAAGCAGCACTATTTGAATTTTTAGATGAGTATACTTGTTAAAGGAAAATTTTAAGTTTTAACAAGTACAAATGGCACAATTAATCTGTCTACATTCTAAATTGTGATTATTAGAGTATACTATATACTACAGTGAAGGAGAGGAAAAGTCAAACACTACCCCAAGGTCTCTTTCCTGGGAGACTAGAAGAAAAGTTGTACATAGAAATCAATGTGTGTGTCGGGGGGACTAAACCCCTCTTCTTTCGTCTCTTGCTTCACATCATAGACATGCTTTCTTTTTTTTTTTTTATTGGTTGTTCAAAACATTACAAAGCTCTTGACATATTTCATACATTTGATTCAAGTGGGTTATGAACTCCCATTTTTACCCCGTATACAGATTGCAGAATCACATCGGTTACACATCCACGTTTTTACATTTTGCCATACTAGTGACTGTTGTATTCTGCTATCTTTCCTATCCTCTACTATCCCCCTCCCCTCCCCTCCCCTCTTCTCTCTCTACCCCATCTACTGTAATTCATTTCTCTCCCTTGATCTTTTTTCCCTTTCCCCTCACATCCTCTTATATGTAATTTTGTATAACAATGAGGGTCTCCTTCCATTTCCACGCAATTTCCCTTCTCTCTCCCTTTCCCTCCCACCCCTCGTCCCTGTTTAATGTTAATCTTTTTCTCATGCTGTCCCTCCCTGCTCTGTTTTTAGTTGCTCTCCTTATATCAAAGAAGACATTTGGCATTTATTTGTTTTTTTAGGGATTGGCTAGCTTCACTTAGCATAATCTGCTCGAATGCCATCCATTTCCCTGCAAATTCCATGATTTTGACATTTTTTAGTGCTGAGTAATACTCCATTGTGTATAAATGCCACATTTTTTAAATCCATTCATCTATTGAAGGGCATCTAAGTTGGTTCCACAGTCTAGCTTTTGTGAATTGTGCTACTATGAACATAGATGTAGCAGTATCCCTATAGTACGCTCTTTTAAGGATAGACATGCCAATCTGCTAGTTAGGGAGAGAATCTAAAAATAGGGAATCGAAGGTTTATATAAATAAAAGAAAAAATAAAAAAGAAAGAGGAAGAAAAAAAGCCAGGACTGATGGGAATAAGGGAGGGTAAAAAGTTGAAGAAAAAGATGAGAGAAATGCGGGAAAATTAAATGGTGGGGTAACAAGTTGATCCTCTCAGTATACCTATTTATTAGTGATAGTTTCATTTAGATGCTGAACTGAATTCCTTTGAATGCAACAACCACATATGCCCAATATTTATTTGGCTAACAGTTCATCTAAATGGGAAAGAAGAAATGCCACAACTGAAAATATGTTTGGTGCACATTGCATGTTACCGGAGTATTTCATTGCTGATAAGAGTGGCATCTAGGAGGAAAATGGCCATTGCTCTGTGTAAGATCTCAGAACCTTGGCAGATTTCCCAGACAGCAGAGGGAGGGGCTTGACCCTGGTGGAGCCACTCAGTCACCCACACTTAGACCCCTTCCTTCTGATCTCATGAAATATTTTCCTTGTGAGAATCAGGGTTTTCTGTTACTTGAAGCCAAAAGTATCTTACCTGTTTCAGTTTCCACCCAAGAAAGAGCAATTCCTATAGAAGTTGTCCATAACTTTAAACAACTAGGAAATTGGACAGAAGTGTGTAATTACTGTTTTCAGATGATAGAAAATAGGAAGTAAAGGATGGTGATTCCTGACCAGAAGAAAGCACAAGTGAGTCTAATGGCTGCCCTGATTTCTGCCTAGAGCAACAGAGAAAATTAACAAAAAAGGAAGGTCTGTTCTTTGACAACATACACATACACACACACACAAATGGCTGCACTGATCGATATTGAGGATATTGAGAAAGTGCAGGACCTATTCCTTCAGATGTCACCACAGTAGAGTAGGGACATCTGAATAACTTCAGATGAAGACAGAATTCCTAGAACCATGCAAATCTCCAGACCTGAATAAAGAAGAAATAGAAAAGCTGAGCAATCGCTGTATTGATTAAAGAAACTGAATTTGTAAGTAAAAAACTTCCCACAAAGAGAATCTTAGTTATTGATGCCCCCTGGGTGAATCCCTCAGCCTTTTAAGGAAGATTCTTAATCTTGCACAAACCCTTTCAAAGAAATGGAAAGGCAGAAGAGCCATCTCCAAGACATTTTATCATTTGTATTGTGGCAGACCACAGGTCCGATCTCACATTGGTCTCAAGCCCTGTGTGATCAGGAAGGTAAAACCAAACAGGAGCCAAAGGAGCCATTCTTCCTGCCATGTCTGGCCATACCCCTTGCTCTGAGTCATTTGTGGCTTCCCATCTGCTGGAACATGGCTGTCACCTCCGTGGCCCTGACTTCATGTGGCTCTGAGAAGTAAGGGAGGACCTGGCCTGCTGGCAGTTGATGGGGTGGTTCCTACCAACACACCCTGAGCCTGGAACCACCTCAGACAGTTCACCAGCAGGAACAGCCCCAACCACCACATCACAGTGTGTGACTACTCCTGAGAGACTCGCAAGTGTCCCTACTGCTGAGCAGTGGTTCAGTGCCTCCTGAAAGCACCTGCAGTCCTGTGTCATTAGAATGGCTGATGAGCATGCCCAGGCCCATGTTCCTAAAAAGAAGAGAGAACATATTACACTCTGAAAACAAATGTTGAGGGTGACCCAGTGCTGCCCCTAGTTTCCTGATGGAAGCAGTGGAGGGAGGGGTAGGAATTTAAGACAGCAGGAAGGAAACTGGAGTGTAAGGAATGCAAGGTTAGCAAGTATGTTTTACATTCTGAGATTAAAGAAATGTGTTGACTTGAGGTGAAAAAAGGTGCCTAAATGTGTCCCCTGCTTTTCCTCTCCAGCACTCAAGATGTTTATTGGGGTCCCTTTCTCCCAGCCCATTTACTGGAGCAGGGCTTTGCAAAGCTGGTCTCCTAGCAGCCAATGCAGAAGGCCCATTCATATGACAATGGATGGAAAGGAAAGAAAGAGCGTGGTTTGTTTAAACTGCCTCTGTCTTCATTCACAGCCTGATGTCCATGTACATTGTGACGTCCACAATGGCACTAAAGGACTCATTGTGGCTGAAAACAAATCAAAATAGAATAAGGGATGCTAAGATAAAAGAGTCCTGCAACAAAATTGCTAAAAAAAATCTAAGTCTTACATCTGAGATTTATGTTACCTTTTGGCTGTGTGGCCTATTGACCAGTGTTTATAATAACCACGAGAGTTTAATAAACAAAAAGATAAATGGGAACTTTATATACATTTTTAAAGGAACTCACACAGAAAGGGTGAGTATGCTGGGTTGCTTTGGAAGCTGTTCAATAATTATTGTTCTTTGTTTGCACAACATTTGGGGAGCCACACTCCACACTTGGTGTTTATTTTCCTTCTGATAAACACACCCTGGCTATGCCCATGTGGCAGGCAGCACCCCATACAGTGCCCCCACCCACTACTCACCCCCTCCTGGCCTGATCCAGCCTTGGATGTTGCAGTGACCCAGCCCAATTCAGGCAACAGGTGGAAAGTTGAATAACTTCACACGTTTTTCGGTAGAGGGGGTGGGCGGGAGGCGAGGCTTTGGGGAGCCGATTTAAGGATTAGATCAGATGTTATTGCTAGTGAAAAATTAAACAGCCCGTGCTCCGGGGAGTACAGATTAATATATTTAGTGACTCTCTGCACACAAAGGCCGCTCATTGTAGCCACGTTTGAATGCCTGTGAATAGGACGGAACATATGCAGCCTGTCACCGCAGGTGCCCACATCTGTTCTTCCCCGGGCAGATGCTCACAGAAAAGGGGAGGTGGGGGAGGCCAGGGAAGGACAGCGCACTGGAAAGCGTCCACGGTCACTCTTCCATAGTGGCTCTTCCATAGTGGCCTTGGGCGATGGCAGGCGTAGTGAGGACACTCCTGGGGAGGCCGGGAGGAAACTGAAACGCATGTGTGGGACCATCCCTGCCTGGGGAGTGACCCAGAGGACTCCCAGGGGTCCTGTCAGGCCCTTTGGCGCACGCCACCTTTCGGGATTTTTAGGTCCTCTGTGGGCCTGGGCTTTAACCACCACCCCATACCCTGGCCCCTGAGAGAAGGGTACAGCGTGAGAGACTGACGGGACTCCCTGGGATGGGGACGACAGGTGCCCACGACCTCCCCAGGGTAGGGGCACATACCGGGGGAGCGTGGGGCTTCGCTCCTACCACCCTCTCAACGCCTTTTCCTGTCTTGGCGTCGTCTTTTTACAGTCACAGGCTTGCCATTTCCAGGTGAGGCCTCGACCCCTGATGGAGTAGTGAAAGGGGCCGCCACGCGTCCCACAGATGCCCAGGCCGAGGCCTGACCCCGCTGGCCAGGGCGAGAAGCCCATCCGCGGGGGCGGCCGCGGCACTCGTGGAGTCTGCCCCTCTCGAGAGCTCCCCCAGGGCGCCAGCCTGTCGGCGCTTGCCACCCCGACCCTCGCAGCCCGCCCTCCCCGGCGGCATCAGCGGGGTAGGGCGAGGGCCGGGCAGCGGCTGGCAGAACGGTCCTGACTCGGGCTTTAGGCGCTCGGAGGCCCCGTCCCTCGCGCGTGCGCAACCCCCTGCGGTGGCCAGGGACGACCCAGGCTTGAGCCCCAGCTTCCGCACTGGCGCCCTCCCAGCACCCGCCCGGCGCCTCCGCCTCCTTCAGGAAGCCCTCGGGGCGTCGGCTCCCCGTCGCGAGGCTCCGGGTCCGGCACGCACCAAACCGAAAGCAGCCTCTCCCGGGCCATAGGAGCCACCCGACGCCCCCACCCCCATCCCGTTCGGCTCGGCGCGCTCGGCGACAGGGTTCGCTGGGGCAGTGCAGCCTCGCGCGGGAGGCTGCGCGCAGCTGCCGCGGTAATCTGATCCCAGGACAAAGGCGCGCCCGCCGGTGCCGCGGCCGCAGGTAAACACGCGCTTTGTCATGGAGATGAGCGCAGGACAGCCCCGAGCAGATGACCCGCGGTTCCGAGGAAGGAGCGGCGGGCGGGGGCTGGAGGGGCAGCGAGCCGGGGCGATCTGTCATCTGCGCCGGGGCCGCCAGCTGAGCCACGCGACTGGCCCTTTCTCATGCAGATCAGCACATGCCTTTGCAACTTCCGCGGACCTCAGCCCCACTCGCGGTCCACGCGTGCACAGTGAGAGCTCCGGCGCACCCAGTGCTCAGCGTACGGACCCGTACGAAAACCAAACCATCCAGTGGATTGGCATTCCTTCTTTTTCACAATACAGCCGCCTCTCCCACTAAAAAATAAAAAAGTCGTGACATGCCGTGACCCCACCGCACATTGGAAGTTGGCGGTTGATCCACTGTGGAGGCCGCCACCGAACCCCTCCAAACGCGGCCACTCGAGGCCAGTCTCACCTGCACCTGAGGATCAGCGCGAGCAAAGTCTCCAGTCTAAATAGACCGGGAGCCCAGTCGGGCTGGGATGAGTGGAGGCCCAGGTTAGAAGGCGAGGGCCAGACAGAACTGCAGTCAGGTGTAAACAGGTTATACATACAGGTGGGTGTGGCAGTTAAAGGAGACGCTCGAAGTGTGTCCAAAGACACCTAAGGATGAGGAGTTGGGCACTACCAGAGCGGCTATGTGGGGGAGAGGTTTGCCACCAGGCCCTCTGGCTACCAGAGTCTCAAGCATGCAGCGGGAGTCCTCCGCTATTTTAACTGCTTTGAGATTCCACAACTGTGGCTGAGAGAGAATGGGCAGAAGGGGTGTCGGTGAGATGTGACACTAATGCTAATTAATAAACAGGCTTTCCTCCTCCTCCCCTCCTCCTCCTCCCCTCCTCCTCCTCCTCCTTTCCTCCTCTCCTCCTCCTCCTCCTCCTCCTCCTCCTTTTCTTCCTCTTCCTCTTCTTTCTTCTTCTTCAGGCAAGATGGAATGTTTGATCAACACCAGATTTGCTGCCTGGAAGGTTTTTTTTTTTTTTTTTTTTTTTTTTTTTTTTTTTTTTTTTTTTATCTTGTTGTTTTGAACAAGGACCCTGATTCTTCTTGGGAATAAGAGAACCTCTCTGTTGGGTATACAGCATTCACTTGGTCTGAGAAAACACAAACCCCACTCAAGTCTCCAGACTTGTTTACACAGAACACTGAACCTGCACTAGGTGGAATCTGAAGCTTGTTTGGGATGTTCCTTGCAATCTGCCCAGACCCTGGGCACATACTTTGGGAGTTAAGCCTTTCTTGGGTGAAGGGGACTGGAATTGGGTGATCACAGTTTTAGGTCACACACTGCTAAGGATGGACATACCTAATTGGATAAAATGATGAACAGGAACTTATTCCCCAGTGAAGAAAATAGTCTCTATGGAACAGAGAACTGAGGTGTGTTGTGACCATGGTTCTGACTGGCACCCAATCCAGCCTCCCCTCCACACTGGAGTTATTCAGACCACAGGACCCCCACCAGGCAGCAGAGTCCCCGCCCCACCGCCCCTGTGTCTGATGTAAGCCCTAATGAGCCTCACTTTGTACAGTAAATTTGCTGAGACATCAAAAAGTATTTAAAAGGAAGTTTTCTGCATTCTCCTAACGAGCAAGGTGAGGATTTATGGTGGATGGGGTGGGGGAAATCTGGTGGCAAGGGCTGACACTGCGGCAAGTCTATTTAACACACTCGAGCTTAAGCTCCCTCCTGCATTTGGGGGGTTCAGAGTACTTGGTTGTGGGAGTACAGAGACATGCAGCTAGGGAGTGAAAAAACGCCATTTGGTTTGGAGCAGATGGCTGGCTAGGGGGCTGATGGCGTCTAAAGGCGTGTCATCCCCCTCCAGCTCGAATCCCTAAGGGCTCCCCTTGTCTTCCCAATCAATGAAAATTAAAGTGCAAAGAAAGGATGAATAGTTGGACCTCGAGTCTCTCCTTTGTTCACCCCAGCTACTGGTGCGCAGGAGTTAAACTACAACAGGCTCCTATAGAAACGCTGAAGTTAAACAGTCTCCCCGTTAGCTCAGCCTTTAAAAGAGAGGGGAAGAGGAACCAATTTGGGTTGCAGGACAGAAAAAAAAGGTAGAGAAGAAAAGGGGGTGAAGGAGAAAGAAAAAGAGTAAGAGGAGGAAAAAGAAGAGGAAAAGAAAAAGAAAAGGGAGAAGAAGAGCAGGAGGAGGAGGGAGGAGAAGAAAAGGGCTTTCTGCTTGATTTCCTCAATACAGAATCGCGTGGCATAAATTAAGTTGGGAAAGAATGAACGCTTTGGGCAGGATTCTGATGGATTTTACGATGCCTTTCAGTTCCGCTTTGCCGCTGTAATCGAGAAATCTGTGCCATGTCAATTTAACAAATACTTGATACTAAGGGGGGTTTGTTAAAGATTTGGGGCAAGTCTTTTCTCTCTCAAGGTTTAAGCCCTTGCGCGTGGAACTTTTTATTTCCAGTTTTCTAAACAGGCATTCAAATGAGACTGTTTTCCATTTCCATTTTCTAATTAAAAGGTTCCTGATATTTCATTTCTTCCTGAGATCTGTGCTCAGTCTTCCAAGCATCCAGGATTCTGCATTCTGATCTCGAATTCCTTTCTTGGTTTGCATCTCCCCTGCTCTGGGTATGCTCTCACCTACCTACCCCCTCACCCCCCATCATAGGGAAAAGCTTCTGAGCCCCAGGGAGAAGAGATCTCAGAAAGCAGCTTTCTGAGGAAACATCAACCTAGTCAAAAAGGGATGCTGACACTAGGTGGCAAGATTAAATTAGTATTCAAGCTGGCCCAGTCTTGTGATGATGTAGCAAGTCCCTACAGAGTTTGCAGAGGGCAGGGACACTGGGTTTGCCTCAGTCCTGGGGATGGCCATATCTTTTGAAGCTTCCATTTGTTCTACATCACACAGTAGGAGATTCTTAGTGGGGCCCAAGCCTGCCTTTCTCACCTCAGCCTTAAATACCCTGTGCACATGGTGTTTGGTTAACTCTGGTTTTCTATGAGGCAGAGTTGGAAAGTATAAAGTGAAATCTCTGTTTATCCTGAAATTTTACAGGTACTTGGGAAACAAGGTAGCCAGGACAGGATGGGTGACTTGAAATGAATGATTCCAGCTGCCTGACAGCCAGAGGAACAAACTGTTCAGTCCTGTTGCCAGTGACTTTGCTGGGTTTTGGAGGACTCCCTTTCTGTATTTTTGTGATGCATACGTGGCCCTGGACGACAGTGAAACTGCCAGGACAGTGCAGGTCCTCACCATGGGGCTGTGACACCTACAACAGGAGACTGCCAGGCCCACTCTGGTGGTTGCCAGACAATCAGAGGGACAGTCACTCCAGCACTTCTCTAAGAAGGAGCAGTCAGGGAGAAAGAGTGGCAACGTGCCTGCCAAGCACAAAACTAGAAGAGTCTCCAAGGAAGAAGTCTATGCCTCCACTTACTCCTGCAAGTAGGAGAGTAGTTTAGGTGATTCATTGTGATACGTGTGTTCTCGGCTCTCCCAATAAACTCATTTCCCTCAAAAAAAAAAAAAAAAAAGGAAAGAAAAGAAAAAGAAAACAAAAGTTCTAGTGTCTGATGGACGTGTAAAAACCTAATAAGGTGACGGTTGTGTAAAGGTTGTGGGCTGGGGGGCCGGGCTGGAGGGGCCTTTGGAACATGTGCCGGACATTGTTGCAGAGGCCGCGGCGCGCGCGGAGGGGAGCTCTTTCTCTCGTATTGTGCAGGGAGCAGGTGCTGTCTGCATTACCATACAGCTGAGCGCACAAAGAGCCACTGATTCAGCTTCGCACAATAACAGACTGCCTTAATGACAGCCACGCGAACGACACACACCAAACTCACTTTTACCAAGCGGAGAGAGGCTAAGGGGGGAATACCCAGGAAAGAGGGGCCCAAGATCCAGGGAAGGTGGTGGCGCCCGAAAATCGACCGGGGGAGGATATGTGTGCACTGGGGAGAGGGTAGTTTCAGGCTTCGGGTTCTCCGGGCTCCAGGGACGCGTGGCCGGGATAGGGACCCTCATCCCAGTTGTAGCGGACGATGCCCGGACTCCAGGGGGCGGGGACGCCCGGGTCTCCGGGGGCGCCCCGGCCGTGCGCGCCGGATCTACGTTTCCCGAGGCGCAGTATCCATCTCCGCCGGGAGGTGTATCGGTGTCTGACCTCCCAAACTTCCCGAAACTGACGCCGCG